GACATTTAAACTTGCTTTTTTTTTAATTCCAATCTAAATTTAGTAGGAGTCGGAGTCGGAGACGGTGCATTGTTTGGCGACTCCGACTCCAGGTACCCAAAATTTCCTCCGACTCCTCGACTCCGACTCCACAGCCCTGACTGGAAGTACATTTTACTGATGACACATCATGGGAATAATAAATAACTAGCAAACTGCCTATTCTTATATATTTGGTGGCTACTGGGTGGAAAGAAACTCACTCTCTCTACATACATACACACATACTTTTCATCTCAGGAATGAAAGGCAACCATTTATATAATCAGTTAAAAAATGAAAAGATGCACTTCAAAATACTACTGAGGGATGAGCCAAATTGAATTCTTACTTCTGTCTGTCTGGAAAACTCATCATTTTTAATGTGCCTAAACCTCTCCTGAGTACTGTTTCTTAGACATATGTAATAATATGACAGAATTCCAATAATGGATTTAAACAGATAATAAACTGGTGCAAAGCATCTCTACATTCTTACTGTAGGTCAACAGTATTATCCCAATATTGTTGAACAGTAAGACAGTAGTGTAATAATCCCCAGCCTACATTCTGGACATACTAGGGGATGGAGAGAAGAGTTCATGACACAACTGGACTAAAATGTTGCTTTCACTCAGGAGTGGACCACGTTCAGTGGGCAAAATCCAAGCTAAATATTTTGGGAATGGACCCTTAGAGTTGCAAACTGTGCAGAGCTGTATCAAACTTGTGGTTAGGGATCTTTTGGGGAAAAAGCTTAGGAAGGTGTTTTTAACTACGATGTGGCTATGGCTGACATAACAGCTTTTGTTCCTCATTCAGAATGGTGGGAAACTGTGGTCATGTTTTAGCAATCCTTGTCAGAGAAGGCTCTGAGGGCAAGGGCCACAAAAAGGGGCTTGGAGCCTTCATGCTGACCACTTACTGTAAATATTCTGCCAATTCAGTAGAAAAAATGCACTGAAGCCCCAATTGTAGACATCAGTATAAAGCCCACTTTATACTGATGTATACAACTGAGCTTATTTCCAAAGGTAAACATACAGAACGACCTATTCACAATACTTGAGTACAAAGTTGCTTCCTCTGAAATAAGCACAAGCACATTGATGACCTATTTAGAACTGTAGACAAAACTATTAGAAGTTGGCCCATTTAGTTCAATGGAGCTTACTCCCAGATACACATGCAATGGGTTTTATTTAAAACATCCTATGTATCCCTTTCATTTTCTTATTATCCTCAGCATTCATTCCAGGACTAAATTTACACAACTCCTGCCTTAACTGTATTTACCAAACGCTCCTTTCCTTTCTATAAAAATATTCAAAGCTGAGTATCTTTTTTATGTTTAAAATTCTATACAGTTCATATGAAAAATATCCCAAAGAAAGAGTCAGCATGTATGTCCAAAACTGTTAGCAAAGATTCTCCTGTCAGCCGACCCACGGAAGTGAGTTTTAGCAAGCTGATGACCTAGACTATGATTTAAGAAAATTCAGGGGACAACAATAAATGCCTTCGGTTTTAAGGCATCACAAGGATCTTTGATTCTGCTGCAGAAGACGCCGCGGGAGCGTTTCTGGAAACGGCTGCACCATCGTAGCCGGAAAATATTCAAACATTACAACGCAGAAGGATGCTACTTTCCCATCTGAATGCGTGAATGCCACCTAAGAAACAAAAATAAGCTGTTTCAACGTACTATAAAGAAACGGTGCGCTATAAAACTCTCCACTCTCTGCTACGGCTCCCCAGACGGCTCCAACTGCCCGTCCCCCGAAAATGGCAGCCTAGAACCGGAAGTCAGGGCGACGTCAGCTAGCAGTTGTTTTTCAAAAGCGCCTCTCTGTGGTTAAGTTTCATTACGCACCTTCCGCGTCTCTGCTTCAGGACCCGGATGGAGACGACCGACTCCCCGGGGGCAGTGAGCCCTACTCCACGGGCGCATGCGCTAGCGGCAGAAGAGTAGGCGTTCTACCAAGAGAATGCGCCGAGCCGGCAGGGAGCCCTAGTATCGGCGCGCAGGCGCGGTGGGGGCAGGCCGGGATTTAAAGGGGTAGTGTCCGCGGGTGCTGCCCCTTAGGGGGAATCTGTTCCGCGTTTTTAGAGGCGAGCGGGCTTTGTTCCTCCTGTTTGGAAAGATGGTTTGCGGGGGCTTCGCCTGCTCACGCAATGCTCTGTGCGCCCTCAACGTCGTTTACGTGGTGAGTGTGACAACCGGATGGCTGGCTGCTTCGCCTCTTCCCGGACATGGCTTGGAGAGGAGAGGAGAGGAGAGGAGGAGCTTGGGGTTCCTACGGCGGGGAAGTGGGGCCGGGGCCAGGGTGGGAGGTAGGCTGGGCAGTGTGCGTGAGGGTGGGGGAGAGAACCCCACCCACGATGGGGCTACTGGATGCCCCGGGGGACCTTGGGCTTGGCCAGGTGCTCTGGAGGCTGAGGTGGGGTTTGGAGGGAACCGGCGGTGCTTTTTAGAGGAAAAACAAGTAAAAGCTGGGGAGGGATGACCTCACTGCTTCTGTCTGGAGCAGCTTCCCCGGCCTGGTGCCCTATAATGGGTTGGACTATAGAACCCCAGAATTTCTAGCTAATATGGCTGGCAATGTTGAGGGTGATCGTGGTCCTCTGGAGCAGAGCAGGTGGAGGAAGGCTAAGCTAGATTGATAGGTGAGAGGATGCATGGGAGGAAAGAGAGAGAGAGGTTTGTTTGGGCTGGCTTTTCTGTGGGCCTGGGAAGTATGGTATAGTAGGAAGAGGAAAGCTATCAGTCCTGCATACTTGCTTGCAAGCATTTTTTTTCTGAGGTGCTGAGTGGGTACTGGGTTGGCCCCAGAAGAGTTGGACACCAAATGTTCCTTTGAAGAAACAAAAGTTTTGGATTAAAGATGATGACAATTCAAAGATGCTTATCCCTGTGACTAAATATATGTCTTGTCAGAGTTGCATAGGATGGAAGCTTGTTATGGTATTTACCTAAGAAAAGTTGGCTCTGCAAATCTGAAACCTCGCCTCAAATGTTCCCCTGATTGCTGGCAACTGAGTGGACCTTCTCTTCTTGTTTACTGACCTCTGTTTTGTCAGATCTGGTAAATAAGTTACCAAGATTATCTGTCATTTGGTTGGGTCCCTGGCTAAATTGCAGGAACATCTGGGAAACTTTGGAAAAACAAGAATTAACACATAGCTCAAAAAAGAACAGAACAGCAAATGACTGCTTTAATAGCAGTCTAATAGTATTCCTTGTACAATGAGAGAAAATGTGTGATTTTTATGACCTGCATATACTTTCTATTTGAAAATGCTAGACTGGCATTGGGGAAATCGAGGTTCTGATCCATTCTTAGCCATAGAAGCTCACTGGGTGATTTTGGGCCACTCACTCTCTTGCTGTCCAACCTACCTCATATGGTGGTGGTTGTATGGAGAAATGGAAGGAGGGAGTGCTCTGTGTGCTGAACAAAAGGTGGGTTATAAATCTAATGAATCAATAAATGAGCTTTTCTCATCCCTTTGAGAAAGGCAAGAGGCCTAGAACGGATTAGGTATGGATAGTAAGTATTTGAAGAGGAAGTTGGAATTAATATGTTCTGCCATGAGAAGTTGTGCTATGTTGGAATTCTGGGTGAAAGAAAGAACTTTAAAAGGCCCTGAGACTGATTAATTTAATAATGTACAGTAAGTTTCATTCAATCCCAATGGGCATAATCTTTACAACTGATAGATAACTGTTAGATAACCTGATTCCATTTCCACAGGACAGACAATTTGGCTACATTTTTCATCCAGTTAGAAATCTTTGAAAGCAGAGCAACTGTTTTCAAAGCAGATTACATGTATTTATTGCTTTAGATATGGAGAAATAGCCACCTAGATAGTGGAAAATCATGGCCAGAAGAGAACATTGGGTCTAGCTGTCATTTGTGCTTCATTATACAACCGTGGGATGAAATCTGCCTAACATTTTTTCTAAAAGTAGTAGACACTGTTGAGTACACATAGAGATGCTTGAACTTGCAAGAAAGGAAATAACCAAGAAATGCTTGTTACTATTGTTTGAATAGGTAGTATTTTTTTCCTTTTCAAAATCGGCTAGGGACCTTTTTCATCACAAAGTTGCATGCCCTGATTAAGTGGGGCTAAAGCACAACTCGTACATTTTATTTATATGTAAGCCTCCTTCCTGGATCATCTGTACCCAAATGTCCACATTTTTTTTTTTAATTTCAAAATATGCAAGTTGATTCATACAAAAACTGACCCATCTTAGCAGCCAGGCCTAAAA